CCGCCGCTCCCGGCGGTGCAGGGAGGCGGGGAACCAGTGGGTGTTGGGACAGGAAGGGGCTCCGGGGCTGGTGACCCGCGAGCACCGCGATCGCCCCAGCCCTCCCCGCCCCCATTCGGGGAGGGCATTAAACTTGAGACGCGCGGCGGCCCCCAGGGCGCCTCGCGCCCCTCCGCTGCCGAGCGCGCTCAGGGTCTGCTCTGGCTCCCAGCTCCACAGCCTGCCCGGCTCTGGGCTGCGTCCAGACCCTGAGATTCCCGTGCCCGCACCAACTTTCCAAGCCGAGGCTGCACCCAGAGGTGGGGGCTGCCCCTGCTCCTGCTCCCAGCCCCGGCCGGACTGGGCCGCGGGATGGTGCAGAGCCCCTCGCGGGTAAGCCAGAACAGCCCTCTGACGCTTCTCTGGTTAGGGCTCCTCTATGGGTACGATCCGAGAGCAGCCCTTCCCAGGCTCCAGGGACCCAATATTTGCGTCCGCAGAAACAGTACCCTGAGCCAGGACGCTAAGCTTAACAGGCCACACTACCTGGGGAAGGTAAGATCGAGGGTCCCCCTAGCGTGGCACCTTGGCCTGATTTCAGATGCCACAGTGTGCCCCCTCCCCCCCTCCCAGGCCTGGCATTTCCGAGGATTTGGTTCTTCAACTCTGGTGCTGGTTTCCAGATCGGATCCACTTAAAAACTGCTCCTAAGCTGGAGTCTCTCAGGGAGGGCCTTTCCTGGGGTCTGGATGCCAGAGGATGGGCTTGGGCCATGGACAGGGAGGTAAGGTCTGGGGCAGGGCAGGTGGATATGCAGTCAAGGGCAGAAGTCCAGCCCAGCATCTTCTGGAAGGCTGTTAGGAGCAGAAGGCAAAGGGGACCCAGAATTGGGAGCAGAAAGCGGGCACCCTGGCTGGGAAGGCTGCTTTGGTCGGTGGAGGAACCAGGCAGGTGGGGGCTGAGGGACTAGGTACCTCCCTTCGGGGTTCCTCAGCCCCTCAAGGTGGGGCCAGGCGGTGTCAGACAAAGACCTTACCTGGGCAGGCAGTTCCCAGGCTCCGGGGACACTTACAGGCTTCGTCATGACCCTGTTTCTATTT